ACAAGGTCGCCTCTCAACCTTCTCTTGCGGAGGCTGAAAAGGTCCAGTTTCTCTAGTCTCTCCTCATAGGGCTTGGTCTGCAAGCCCTTAACCATACGAGTGGCCCTTCTCTGGACCCTCTCCAGGTTGTCCGCATCCCTCTTGAAGTGCGGCGCCCAGAATTGCACGCAGTACTCCAACTGCGATCTGACCAGCGCCCGATAGAGGGGAAGTATCACCTCCTTGGATCTATTCGTCATGCATCTGCTGATGCACGATAAAGTGCCATTAGCTTTTCTGATGGCTTTGTCACACTGCCGACTCATGTTCATCTTGGAGTCCACTAGGACTCCAAGATCCTTTTCTACTTCTGTGCCACCCAGCAGGTCATTCCCTAGGCTGTAGGTGTGCTGGACATTTTTCCTCCCTAGGTGCAGCACTTTGCATTTCTCCATGTTGAACTGCATTCTGTTGTTTTCTGCCCACTTGTCCAACCTGTCCAGATCTGCTTGCAGCTGTTCCCTGCTCTCCGGCGTGTCCACTTCTCCCCATAGCTTTGTGTCATCTGCAAACTTGGACAGAGTACATTTCACTCCCTCGTCCAAGTCTCTGATGAAGACATTAAAGAGTATCGGTCCAAGGACCGAACCCTGCGGGACCCCACTGCCCACACCCTTCTAGGTTGAAACCGACCCATCCACCACGACTCTCTGGGTGCTAATGTGACTGGTTGCTTTCTGAACACACAAACCAAACTTTTTCAAGGTAACAGAAGGTGTAAACAGCATGTAGACACAGTAAGGATTGATGCTTAAAAAACAAAACCACAGCACTGTTGGGTAGACAGTCTTATTCAGTACCTTGTAAGTATACTTGATGCTGCTAGAAAACTGTTAATCTAGAACAGCTCTACTGCAACTAAAGCTACGCATAATTGTATGCAGTTCATGGTGACAGTTTAGAGAGTGCATTGAGAGAAGAGGTGGTGGTGGCCCCGGTTCCATAAACCTGAACATTTCAGACCAGCACTTGTCACTATAGATGAAAGCTTGAACCAAGAGTATAAACAGGTACTGTAAGTTTGTTTCTAATTCTTTCTTTAATGGCCCCATGGTAGTACTCTTAAGGCTGAATAGCGCTCCATAAATTCCCAGCTAAGATTAGCCTACAGTTTTGATACAATAGTTCACTCTTGCTTTTGAGTCTTCTAATGTAAGGAAAGGTAGACATTCTTACTGCTCAGCAGCTTTAGGGCCTCAAAAATCCCTGCTCAAGTTTCTGTTCATATCTTAGCATTAGTAGGAATCTGAAACTAGACACTGCTCCATCTGCTGCAAGGATCCTTGTGCAGAAGAAAGGGTGAGCACTTTTTTTTTTTTTTTACTGCCATCCACTAAAATGGCAACAGACCCAGGTTCATAGCACTCCTCCTCTGAGTTGGAGCAGGGATGTGAAGCCAGGCCGCCTGCTTCCCCTGAATGCTTTATCCACCACCCTACATAGTATCTCTATGACCCAGTGACTATTTTATGCCTGGTGCAAGTGCTTGAGCAGGAGAATGCTGTTTAGACCACCTCCAGGAGATGGAACCCTTGTTTAAACTCCAGGTTGAAGACCCTTCCAGCTGACTGCTCTTCCCAATGGACAAAAACCCACGTTTGTTTTTTTTTAAAGAAACGGCTAACCTGGCAGCTATAAGTTCCTACCCTCAAGCCCTGAGTAATGTCTTACCTTGAGAGGGATGGTGCTTGGTCCCTACCTGTCATCTTATGTTTCCTATGTACTAGCTTAGGTGGTTTTTTGCTCAGCTTGTGTCTTTGGTTTCTTCCAGTCTTATAAACTTAACTTTTCCCTGCAGGTTGTACTGGGAAGCAGGGCACCTAAAACTGTAGGCAGCTCTACATACTGTCTAATTTTGGCTGCTTGCAGACATTAACACCCCCCCCCCCCCCCCAAAAAAAAACAAAAACAAAAACCCACAAAAACCCCCCAAAACAAACCAACACCCACCCCCAGCTTGACCAGAAGTAGTAGTCTATAGAGATTGGGTGCTTTAGCGGGGCTTTCTGGTGCTTTTAGCTAAAGCTGATTCAATCAGCTACTAGATAAAAGCGCCAAAAAACCTCACTAAAGCGCCTGATCTATACAGATGTCAGGTGAGCTGGGTCCAATTAAGGCGCTGCCTCTTCGGGGCATTTGTGGGGCTTAGCACAGGAACGTGTTGAGTTTAAAGTAAAGCATTGGTTTGTGTTTTTGGGGGGTTTTTTACGTCTGCATCCATCCTACTTGAATATCTTCAAGGAGTTTATTTTGGAAGCAAAACAAATGCTGTAACATTACCTTACTTTGAATGAATTCATTACTCCATTTCTTCCAGCTTGAGGTATTGTGTACAGTCATTTATTTTCTTAAGATAAACAATATTAACTTTTTCTGAGCACATTGGACAGATGCTTTCACTCTGCAGCATGCTGTGTGAAAATAATTAAAGCATATGTTAAATCATACTCCTAATACTGTTTTCAAGCACAGACCTTTGGGCTTCCTTTAGGAATCAAGTGGTGAAATTCTACCCCTTATGTTCATAATTGCTCTTTCTGGCCATGCATGTAGGATTTTTCCCATGCAAAAATAACAGCTGTTCTATTAGTTGACTAGTTTTAAAGAAGGATTCCTTGAGGTTGCTCTGGCATGCACATGGTTCATACAAGTGGGGCCAACCTTTTTTGGCAGGAGTGCCACAAATTAGCTCGACACTCTCCCTTAGTGCCACTTCCATCCCCTTAAAAGCCAAATAGCTCTGATACTCAGTGCCCTGTTTTGGCACACTTTCACTGGGCAGATAGGCACTAGGAGCATTGTGGAGCTGAGGGAAGCAGCAAGTACTGGGTGACATTTTCCATTACAGGGCCTGCCTTCTCTGGGGTCTGAATAGGAGATTCTGCCCTTGCTGCCTACCTTTGCTAGATCATCTCCCTGCCCCAGAAGTGACCTCAATACAACACTATGCATTGCCCTGTTCTCCACTTGTAGCATGCCTTCACACAACCTTAGGAATGGACCAGAAGTAAACTGCTTTGGAGCAAGTGAATAAACAAGAAAGCTGCAGAACAAAGGATTGGGTCATCCTAGATCAGTGGTCTCCAACCTTTTTAAGTAGGAGATCACCTTTGGCATTTAAAAACAACCCAAGATCTACTGTGTGCTGCTGCTGCTCTCCTCCCCCCTGCCTGCCCCCACCCCCCAGGTAAGTCTGTGGGGAGGGAAGGCGTGGGGTAGATCAAGGCAGGGGGAGAAAAAATTATTTGGGGGCGTGCCTCCCCAGCAGGTAAGTCACACCTGGCTGAGGCCCCACTCAACTTACCCCTGCTCTTGCCTCTGCGGCACTGCCCCTCACTGTGGCAGCCTCAATCTAGCTCCTGCCCCTTCCTGCCCCCATGAACTGACCTACTGGGCTGGGGCATATGCGTTCATGAATGGGGGCATTCAGCCCCCTACCCCAGCCTCAGATTCCAAGATCTACTGCAAGAGGCTTCGAGATCTACTGGTGCATCAAGATCCACTGGTTGGTGACCACTGTCCTAGACCTCCAAAGGCAGGCTGCTCAGTGGTTTCAATGCTGGTAGGATGTACTATTTAAAAAAAATCCCTAAATCAGCAGAAAAGTTTCAACTTACTTTTTGAACTCTGAGTAGAGGGCAGGAAAGTCGCAATGCGGGCAGACTGTCCAGTCATCTTTTACCATATGCCGACCCTGGAAATAAACAATGAATCCTGATGGTAAGGCCAGACTGCCAGCTAATTAGCACTATGACTACACCGTTCACTGTGAAAGGTCTTACAGGAATCTTAATTCTAAATTGTCCAACACTAATGGACAGGTATCAAGCCATTAAAGTGGTTAGATTGTTAGAGATTAGATTACAGATGATAATTTGGATATGCTTGCATACAAATGACACTAGATTTTAAAGCTTTGAATAAGAGATGCAAGATTTCAATACTACTTATACCTTTTGCCCCCTTCTTAACTGAAGTACAGTGAAAGAAATTAATCATTTCATAAAAAAAAATCTTTCTAGCCAGCAGTTCTGTGCTGGGGTCCTTATATACTTTCTACCTTTTTTTTATGAAGAATATCACATTCAGTTGTCGGGGGTGTTTGTTGTAACTGTGTTCGTTTAAGGACATGGTTAGACAAGGTTCTTTGGGTAAACGTGGTATCTTTTATTAGACCAACTAAATAGTTGGAAAAAATTGTTCTTTGTAAGCTCTCAGGCACAAACACCCTTCTTCAGATTGTCAGTTGATAATAGATGCTGAGGACACAAGATGTGCAAGGCCTCAACTTCCATTCTCCCTTGCTGGAAGCCTTGCTCATAAGCTGTTTTGACTGAGACCACTCACTTTTTATGTACATTCAAATTTTAACAATTCCATAGAAAACTACTGCATACAACTGGAATTCTGCCAGTTTTGCTTAACTGTCCTAATTAAAAATACACTTAAGATCCCTTACTTACCCTAAAGTCTGTACAACTTCGTTCTTGTAAGTGTCAGCAACATAAAAATTAAATATTCATTGGGCCTGGAGAGCTTTGACTTCATAGGGCCTAAGTTACTCAACTAGGGAGACTTGGAGGAGGGGCAGGAGGAGTTCACTGCTCTGTTTCATATTAGATGCTCATTAAAGCAGAGATTGGAACCCACCCTTAGTTGAGCATCCCAGACACTCAGCTGTTGAGTTTTATACATTCCTTCCCTTCATCCCTCCCTCCCTTTGGCTGGGTGTTTCTGCGCAGAGACAAATTTGGGAGACCAGGCTCAATCTGGTAGAACCTTTCTGGCATTATGTGGGAACCCTTTGAATCCTCGAGTCTTGTGCACAAGCTTGGCATTTGTTGCTCAAGTCTGTTGAGACTTCAGTGATTCCAGAAGCAGAGGGTGCTGTGTGGGGGTGCATTTTGGACTTGGGTGCTTAAGTCTTTTTGTAGACACAGCCCTTAGCCTTTGTGTCCTTGCTTGAACAGTATCAGGGTAACAAACCTGCCTGAATCTATTGTACGGCAGAGGAATGTGACTGACCAAACAGTTCAATGTTTTAGAAAGAAAAAGGTCAATTCTGGATACAATGCTAAATACTGCAGACTACAATCTGTGTCACACTGAAGGCCACTTACAGTTGCAATGCAATATGGGGGGTTGTTTTTACAGCCAGGACAGAGCAGCTCACACTCAGGGAGCAGGAATTCACAGTATGGGCATGGTGTGGTTGGCTCTTCTGCCTCAGAAGTGTCTGGTCGTCTAGAAGTAAGAGATGGAGGTGAATGAAGTGCAAGAAAACATTCAAAACAACACTCATTTCTGGTAAAAAGCAAAAGCATCTTTTTTCTAAAGTTACATGTTATTCAATTATCAGTATTTCCCGTCATCCGTCTTTGTTATTGTCTATATTTTATAACTCTATATAATTCCAAGTTAGTTGATTTTTGAATTCTTAATCTTTTAAACTTTCTGATGATAAACTTTACATATGATATAAAAATTACTTGACCTTACCGAGTCAGGTATTTCAATCTGTGTACTTTTTAATCACCAGTTGAATACCTCAAAATAAATTTAACTCTAGCTAGAGTTAATTTTTGTTGCATTATAATGTCTATTCTTAGAGTTCTATTCCATGGGCTCTTTTTTGGGGAAATGTCTTGTGAGGTGAGGAATCCTCATCCAGACTCTAGGATAAAATATCTGAATTGCACTGCATATAAGACCTGTGATGGGGATTTTGTTTTTAAATCAGTTTTCCTAAATTACTCTGACTAAAGTGTATTCTGTTATGCAACATATAAAGAGAAGAGTGAATCAGTTTAACAGCATTTTCCAATGTTTAAGAGTAATTTATTTCACAGTTTACTAGGCATTTTCATTAAAGTATTTTTATTAGGTTAGCAGCAGTTAGGATTTCTACCTTTAAGTATATTCATCTTCACAGGGGCATTTTAATTGTATTGATCAGAGCGGTCAGGAAGTTCCTTCTCTAAGCCCAGGCAAAATATTGCCCTCGTAACACCCATCACGTACGTGTTATCTTCAGGAGGGGTTTCACGGGCTGGAGGTTTGTCAAAACTGAACTCTAGGCAACAAGGTGGTTTTTTTGTTTGTTTGTTTTGTTTTTTATAATGGCACCTAAAGGCAGCTTCCAACAAGCATGAACTACTATTCATTAACTAACACAGATTTTTGCCTGTAAGAATTAGTGGTAACTCAGGTCCTCAGTCTTCAGAAGAGTGGGAAGGGATTATACACCCTCTCAACCTGAAATAGGGATATAACATGAAAATACACAAACCCTGAAGAGGTTTTATAGAGAATATGTAACACTACAGGTAAAAGCTGGTGACCTGCCTGGAAAAAAAACCGGAGCATTACTTACCTGACCATCGCTTCAATTTTCTTTTTGTATTTCAGATCTATTTTATTGCGGTATTCAGGTCTCATCAGCATAGCAGCAAAACTGAAAGCTGAGTTTTTCAGTCCTGCCCTATGACACTCGATTACTGTTGAAGTCAGGATAGGGACAATGTCTGCAACAAAACAAAACAATGGGACATTTGCCATCAATGGTCATGCTAAAAGCCTTCACAGAGAGCAAGCAGGACTGAGAAGCTTTAAAAGGAAGGGCAGATAGAAAGGGTCCTTCCTCCCCCAGGTACACAACTTCACAACTTTGTAGAATTTACATTTTTCACATCACAGAAATTCTACTCATTGCTGTGCATGTTAGAGCTAACCATGTGACCTTGGGAATTACTTATTTGTGTCTCACGATAATGGTCAGGCAGAAGGCAGGGCAGAGTTGCATCTTAGAGACTATCCTTTTTAAGTGGGGGTGTCAAATTCATCTGGCCCTGAAGTCTGTGGGCCAGACTGGGCATATAGACCCCCCCCCCCCCTCTCCCCCAGCATACTGGATCCAGCGCCTGCTCCAATGAGTCTGGGACCTGCACTGCATGCAGCCTAAATTCTGGAGCAGCCAGAACTATCAGTACATATATCCACACACTCCACTATGTTATACCTACAACTTAACCCTTCACCTTCTTAACTGATACTGTGCCTGAAAAATACTTAACTAGCAGTGTTGCTCTCATTACTGTAAATCATAAGTCAAAGCAGCAGTCCTATAGCAGGGCAGTTTAAATTGACTGCACAGTTACAATGTCCTTTTGTGCATAAGTTTATTTTGTCTGATGCACTTACTATAGTTAATTGACTAGAACTCACGTGATGGGAACTTGCTGATGTTGTTGGCTACACGGATAAGCATACGTGCCCCCTTCATGTGATCACCACGTTTAACATGCATCTGAAAACGAACAATTGGGTATATTTATTGATTGACAACTACAGCATTTAAAGGTTCTGAAATGCAATGGATATGCAGAGAAAAGCAGGTTATAGTAGTCCAAGTTCCATCTAGCAGTTTTAAGTGAGATGTAGAGAGAGATTTTTATCTGAAACTAGTTGCATAAGATGCATAGGATCCTTGCAATAGGGCTCTCCTGAATAATCTGGAACATTTAGAACAATGATAGTAGGGTAAGAAACTGGTTGAACAAAACATTCCTTAATACTGTTACAGCCACCTCCCTTTTTTTTTAGCTGTAACAGAATAATGCTTTGCTTTGCCCATAATTTACATTGTTTATCTTTTATTCTCAACCATTTTTTCCTGGCTTATGTTTTAGAAAGAATCGGTCATTATAGAAAAATGTCTTACTAAAGATGCACATAAAGGGTAATTTTTAAAGTTGTTTGCAGGTTTTCAGTCATGTAACTACTTGACAATCCTATGCTAGAGTCAAAGTATTGAAATGACCAAAATGTGTGAACAGTTCACCTAAACTGTCACGTTCAGAAATGCTACATATGTATTCACTGTCCACAAATGCTAGTGTGTAATTTGTCTCTAAATAGGGCATTATATATACAGTTTACATAAATGTTACACAGGATTTGATTTATTAATAACGAATTTTCAGTTTATTACCTTTACTAAAATATAGCTATGAAGAATCATAAGGTTTGTAGCCATCTCAGAAGGAATTTTAATTTTCTGGGTTTTGAGCTCTGAGTACATACTGAAAAGAACATCATGTGCATTTCGATAGTTTCCTTTAAAATATGTTAAAAAAAAGTTAGCAGCAAAGGTTATTTTTCACAACAATGCTCTTATTACAGGAATAAAGTTAAACTTCATTGCAAGCTGTCAACTATAATCTTAGAACAGAAAATGTGCAAGTTAATTTGTACCTAAAAAATCACAAGCTAGCTCTTACTTGTCTGCCACAGTATCCTAATGATACAAGTCAGGTAACCGAACAGAAAAATCATTTGGATGAAGAAAGAATCCTGAAATAAAGGAACATATGAAGAAACAGCACAATGCATATACGCACATTGTGAATGTATATGTTGCTGTATCCCATTTCAAAAATAGGAAGTGTAGACCAAATATACAAAAAGTACTTGTAGGGCCTTATGTGGCTTTTCTTTGTTCTTAGACAACATTTCACTTATTTGTAGAAACAGTTGTGTAACTGGTCCACTTTTAAATATGTTTTGTTTAAACTTCAGTTTAATATACATCTTGTATATTTTCATTGTAGCTTGCCTAACTCGTACTGCTAGAAAACAAATTGCACATTTGATCAAATAAAGTTTAGGTACTAGATTCAGGGGCATGGCTGAATCTTAGGAAGAAAGGTCCTGAAGTCGTCATATTTCATTAAGCAAGGAAAGTAGATTTATCCCAAGGAGAAACCACCACTTTGTATATGTAGCCCACTGCTGGACCTGAGCCTTTCCAGCTAGAGCAGGATATATATAAATGCTAGTAACAATAATAATATCATTATTACACAAGATTAGCTTGGGGACTCTTTTAGCCCCACAGTCTGAAGAAACTGAAGATCATAATCAGTTTCACCTATAGCTTTTCTTTATCTTTCTATATCATTAAGCAATGGCCATGGTATGTTATTACCATTATATACAGATAAGCAGATTATCTATTGCATCCCTTATCAATTCACAATTTCTATATCTCATAAACTTTATCAGTCAAGCTGAAGTTGAAACAAATAAATAAAAGACATGGTTTGAAGCACCAACAACTGAAATCCTTATAAGCCTCTGAAGATAACAGGAAAATCAAACCACTCTCTAGAGGCAGTGCATTGATCTTGACAGAGAAAGGATCAAACCTGTATTTCTTGCATTTTGAAATATTATATAGAGAGATATCTATATTCAGATTTGAGGAAAGTGATGAATAGTTAAATTAAGCCTTTACATCTCTGCTTACATTATTTATGTGTTTTTCATTGCTATAGTGTACTGATTCTCGACAGGGTGCTGTGGCACCTTGAGACTTTCTCAAGGGTGCTGTGGGAGTGTCACACACTTGGCACTATTGGATGTGCAAATATGACTTACAAGATAAATCCAGAGTTCTTAACTATGAATCCATTGTATTAAAACCATATACTGTCCTGTTGTGGTCTTTCTCAATTCTTTGCAACAGAAGAATTGCTATATTGTTCTTCTGTAGTCAAAAAAACAAGTGAAAACTAAGAGTTGGCATTTTCTGAAGGGGGTCTAATGAGGGGAACTTGAGTCTAACAAGGTTGAGAAGTACTGCTGTAGTGCATTAGGAGATCTTGACCTCATGCTGCCAAGGGTTTGGGAGATTTTTTGCTAGCTCATTGAAGAGGCTAGAAACATTAACCTGTCTTGGCTATAACTGCCTAGTTGATCCCCAAGGCTGCTATTAAATATTTTTCTTAATTTACTTTAATGAAAAAAGGACATCTGTTTTAACACAGTTGCTTGGGCTACTACAGAGAGTACCTATTTTGCTTCTACACCATGGCCCCAGTTCATTAGTTCCCTTTATATTCAACAAAGCCACTTAGATTGGAAACGGACATCACCTTTGTGCCACTATAAAATTTGTGAAAACAAACAGGCATCCCTAATTTTCTGTCATGCCACAAATGCACAAATAATAAACTGAGCTGTTTTACTGTGGTGGACATGTGTTTGTTTATGGCAGAAGAGCAAGAAGCTGCCTACACTCTCTTGGTCAGGGGCTCTGTGGGCTTGAGGAGACCAGGCCTGCACACCCTGGGAATTCCTGGACAGGATTGGGCCCCTCAAGCCTTGGAAACTGCTTGCTTTGCTTTCTCTGGTTACCCAGACACCCTAGGGATCTCCAGGCATGTGTCTTTGTAAGCAGGGAAATTTGGTGTTTCACCCCGACAGAGGGCTTGTGTCTGCAAGGAGGGTGTCCCCACTTGCAGACATGCACCTGTGTGGAAGTACAGCAGTGACGTGTGCCAAGGAAAACTCCACAAGGGTACCCCTCTGCATTTACAGCTCATGCCAATAGCAGCGCAAATGCAGAGGGGGGACAGTCTATGGGGGGTTGTTTTGACTGTGCTGCACAGACTATGCCTGTTTCCAGCTTAAGAAAACAAGTAATGCCTGTCTCTTGGCTGTCTACCCGTTTAACAGCACATGACTTATTAACATGTATAATTCCCATTGAAATCAATAAGACTTTTTGTTTGTATGTTTTAAATTAGAAACTATCAACGGCTGCCATTAAAAGAAAAGCCTCCGTTATGGAGAAAAATAAAGTTCTAGGCAGTCTCCATTAATAAATCTGAAGAATGAACAAAAAGAAATGCTGAGTCTATCCAAGATTCCCCCCCGCCAAGTCTCACTTTGCAAAGTGCACCAAAATCCCCCATGAGGGCAATGTCACATTTAGAAATAAAATCTAGATTGAAGTGATTTTTTTTTTCTGCACATAAGACAGTCTTTCTAGGGCTAATCTATATTGTTCTGCGAGCACAATCCTTTTGAGCAATAGTATCCAAACCAATTGAGGGATGGAAAGTGAAAGCTATTTTCACACCAGTAAAAACTAAACCAGGCTAAAATGAGAGAGTGATTTACTTACCTGCCGATTGCTCTTCCCTGGCAATTATTATGGCAGTCCGGGCAGCTTCTCTGTATTGCTTTAGTGCCATGTACAAGCGGAATAGATACCTGGCATCCTTAATTAGAATGATACAAAATCATAATGCTGATGAAATCTGTAGTGGTATATCGTACCCTCTCCCCATTTCAAGCAAATACTGGAGACAGCTCAGATTTGTACTCGTCCATGGATTCTGTGGCTTAGCCATATACCATGGCTTAGCACTCAGTGCTCCCTCTGCTTTTGGTGCTAGACTAGCTTTCATGCTAATTGTTGGGGAAGCTTTGTCTGAAGAAATAAGTCACATGAAAGATGAGAAAATGCCCCTTTCTGAATAATAATAAAAAAAAAAAGTGATGAGAAAATGTTGAAGTTGGTCTTTGTTACAAGGAAAATCAACAAGATCTTCTAAAGACTCATTTCAGGAAAGAGAAATGGGACACTCTCAGAAATTCAAGTCTCAAAAGACCAATTATGATCAGATAGCCAGGCCCTCTACACAGAATGGGGAGGGCAGGTGGCCTAGAACAGAGATTCTCAACTTGCGGATCACAAGAATATATGAAAGTGTCATGAACAAATTTAAAAAATGGATTCTCGTTTAAAGAAGAAAAATGTGGGAAGCTGCAGGTTTTCCCTTGCAAGCTGGCAGAGTTCCAGTCTGCAAGGGGCTGCTTGGGGTTGGGGGAATGGTAAGAGGGTGATCAGGCAGGGGGCACTACATGCACATGCATGTGCACACATGCATGTGGCAGCCAGACAACATGGAAAGCAAATCCTGCAGCTCCCCACAGGCAAGTCTATGTGGTGGGGGCATAGGGACATGTAGGGAGGGATGGGGGGGTACATGCCTTCCCAGACTTATGCACCCACAGCAGGTATGGGGCTGTAGCCTAGCCAGACTGGCATGGGCAGAAGCCACCTTCGGAGCCTAGCAGGCAGGACCCAGTGTGGGTGGACCGAGTTGGGTGGTGAGACTTGTTGCTGCCACCACCGCTGGGACCCCTGTGCCAGCCATGCTGCTAGCAACATGAAAAGTAATGGATGGGGGCCCTAACCGCCTCCTGCTGCCAGCCGCTTGCCCTCTACCCTGCCACCACGGTCCAGTTGTGGCTGCCATTCCCCTCAGGCCACAGTTCTACTGTGAAGGGGATGTGGGGTGGCAGACAGCTCAGGCGGCCTGAAAGGAGCAGTGATGGTAGTGGCAGCCAGGCCATGGTAGAGGGGTAGAGCCACAGCCCAGCATACAAGCAGCTAACAGCAGCAGGAGATGAGGCAGCATGGCTCCCCTCCCCCATCTGTTACTCCTTGCACTGCTGGTGGCACAGCTGGTGCAGGGGTCTCAGTGGTGACAGCAGCAATGAGTCTTGCCTTCCCACATTGGGTCCTGCCTGCTGGACTGTGGATGTGGGTCCTGCCCATGCTGATCCAGCCAGGCTGCATCTCCATGCCTGCTGTGAGTCCATAGGCATGGGAGGGGCACATGCCCCCTGTGCCCCACACACACACCTCCAGCCTCATACACTGTGGGGCTGGAGGGTCAGAAGTGAGGGACACTAGCAGGGCTGGGGGTTGACAGTGAGGGGCACCAGCAGGGCCAGGGGGCTGTTTCCTACTTAAACTATTTACTGGGTTGGGATTGGCCCTTGATGTTTACAAATGGGTCTTGGTACAAAAGAGGTTGAGAACCACTGGCCTAGAAAGCAATTCAGGAAGCCCAGAGGTATGTGAAGTTACCCAGAGGAAATGCCAAGTGTAGAGGTGCAGTAGCAGACCTCCTGCCTCTTCGGAGGTGCCGGACTCACACTATCTACTCTGTGCGCACACACGTGTGTGTGGGGGTAGGGGGCAAGTGGGAGTGGGAGGAGATGGCTACCTAGGCATGAGCTCTCAAGAGCCAGCCAGGCAAGGGGGAAGTGATGGGGTAGGGGATGCATGCAGGAGAGCTAGCTTGGGTGGTGCAGTACAGGTGCAGTCCTCAGCTGCCCCTGCAGTGGTCCGCATGGGGCTGAACCCTGCCCACTCCCGCCTGGGGCAGCAAAACTGTGTGCGCTGGCCAGGGCCAGTGGGCACAGGTGACAGCTCAGTGCAGACTGCCCCATGCGGGAGTAGGTGGGGCTTGGTCCCATGCAGTGTACTGCAGGGGCAGCCGTGGGCCAGATCCCATCAACTGTCAGGTGCCCTCTGAGGGCCGGTTCCAATCAGTCAGTGGGCTGGATCTGGCCTGCGGGCCATGTTTTGCCTTCCCCTGCTCTAAGGTAACACCCTGCTCGGTCTTACTGTAGAAGATAGGTGGTAGACGATAACATGCAGCTTGAGATGTCAACCCCTTGGCATGAGTAAATCTAGGAAATCCCACCAAGAATGGACTAAGGGTAAAGAAGCAAAGTATACAAGATAGATTAAGGTTGGCTATCTTGGGTTTTGAATATTTCAAACATTTGTAACTAATTACTCTCAGTGCACTCATTTATTAATGCTGTAGTACTGCTGTCTAATAGCTAGTCTTTTTGAATGTTTGTTTAAAGCAACTGCGTATCTGCTACTGACCTTTAGATTCAACTAAGGAATTTTAGCTGAACTACTGACATGGTCAGTTCAATCTCCAGTGTCACAGAAAAGCATTCTAGCCACTAGGCCATAGGCTGCAGCACTGCCCAGAACACTCTCTACCTGCCCTTCTCTTCAAGCTGGCCCACTGAACAGGCAGGAGGCAAATGGAGGGTGTTACAGCTGAAACTGAACCAGTGGGGCAGAAACTATCCCAATGGTGTTTATTCAGCTTCAAGGTTGGGGAGGAGGGCTAGAATCTGGCTCACTCTTTGGGCAAGTGACTTACATGCTAGGCTAGCGTGTGCATGGTGGTGGTGGTGGGGTGACTCCCTTCTCCTCTGTTTTATTGCCAGCATGTGGAGGAACACCTCCATGACTGGAAACATAATCCCAAAAATGAGTGACAAAAATTGCCCTTATGTGGCTATGTAAGTTCCACTTAAGCACATGAAAATGAAACGTGGTTTAGCCCTATAATTCTTCAGTGGAAGGAGGAGACACATGAGTGAGTCATGACAGAAGTAATCAAAATGGGAGAGACTTGTATACAGAAAGAAATGTCAGCTGCCTTTCTTGACACTGTCTCGCTCTACAGAAAAAAGGACATTTAACGGACGTTGAAACTCAAGAAACGTAAAGCTAATGATAGGAAATACTATTTTGTTATAACATATGGAACTCAGTGCCATAAAGATCAACTCACAGTAATAGTCAAACAAGCATTAGATATTTTTCTGTATAACTAATTTTCCACAGCTATGTAAGATAGAACATGTGGGTTTAGAAGGGATAGAAACCTTCATGTATCAGGATGCAAACAAATCACTAAATGATTGGCATTAGGAAAAAAATTCCCTGATAATCAGGTTAATACATAATTGTCCACTATAGCATCTCTTACAACTTTCTCCATTACATTGCCTAACAACTGTCAGAAACAGGATGTATGTGTAGATGACCAGTTTTCTGAGCTGGTATGGCATCCCTTCTCTCTCAAACTGCATTGCAATCATTTAGATCTCTAACTGATCAAAATTGTGGCTACAAATAACTGAAGACACACAAAAACTTTAAAAATACAGGTCTTTGTGTTTTAATTTAATTGCATGAGCTTTTAGATAGGCTTTCTAAAAAATGTTAGAAAAAACAGCTCTAAATAAATCTCTCTCTCAAAGCATTGGGAAAGGCAGTTTTACCATACGATAGATGGTTGCTGTTTTTTATTCAAACACTGGAATAGAACTTCCATGTCAGGGTGACTTGTTTTCAATTTTTAAAACATTTTCCATTTATAAAAAAACAAAAACAGCAGAAGTTGGCTAATTAGCACCCATTGAGAAATCCATTAGAGAAAAAAGATAAACAATATTAAATGATGATACTGGATAATTTGAGTTTCACTTCTGAGGGTAACCATCCACATAGCTGTCTAACTTCTAAGTGGCCAGAGGCCACATGCACATTAAAAATAACTCCTGCACATCAAAATGAAAATTACAGTTTAATATTATATATAACAATATATTTAGTATTATAATATATTAGAACAGAACTATGGTGTAAAAAACATTTTTGATAGTAGCCAAGTCTTAATAATATAGCACCTCACAACACCCCTTTTAATTGTTTACTGAAAAGCTGTTGAGAGAATTATCTAGTTTTAAAATCATCGGAGAGAGGATTAGTACATTTCTGCTATCTGCTACTTCAATTACAGTCTTGCTTTCAGTGATATGACAATATTTCCAAGAAGCTATTCTAAAGAAATGCGACTCAGATTGGCTGAGAACTTCATATAGGCATTTGCTTCCATACTGTAGTGAAAGTAAAACTTAGTTGATTTTATTTTAAAAGTAGTAACTATGATTTGATAAAGTAAAATGATGTTACTCACTGAGAGAGACTATGGCAGATGGTGTAAAGCATTCAAAAAGAACAAGAGAGCTTTAAAATGAGGAAAAGAATGCCCTTCATTCATATGCAAATCAATGTTAAACATGGCAATGAGTGCATTTATATGCATTTATATAAAGTGGTACCATGGTTTCTAAAGCACCTTCCTAACTACTTCCTAAGCTTTTTCATAGTGCAGTCATATTCCATTACCCACCTATACCCTACCCAGAATGCCTGGCTGTAATTTATATAAAGGACAGAATGTGACCGATGTGACTGTTCATCTCCGTTTATCATTTGTATCCAGGAGGATTTACTTCCTCTCTGGGTAGAGAAATTTTGGTTTTTATCAGATTTCCCATTACGGTCCTTACAGCTCTTATCTCTTTAGGTCTCTGCGTCTTGATTCTGTTCTCTCCTGCATCTGCTCCCCTCAATGTTGATGTCATCGAAAGTAGATGACATCAAAGCAGTCCTCAACAAAAGACAGAGAAAATGCAGCTGCTCAAGGTGCACAGAGATGCTTTTACTCAGTTAAAAATGTTTAGCTGAATCTGACTCTAACGAATGGCACAGCAAACAGCCAAAGCTCCCTAGCCTCACTTCAGCTGCAAACTACAAGCCAGCAGGAGAAGGGAAGGGAGCATAGGCATCAACTTATTTTTGCCAAGGGGGCCTAAGATGATGGACATGTGGAAAGTTTTACGCATTTCAGATGACAGCCCTCTTCCTGAGGGGGGCAGGGCCCCCAGGTCCCCATGTACTTGGCATCTCTGGAAGGGGGAGCAGCCCTTTGCCACAATTGTATGCTGTCTGCATGATTGCCTAACTGTCCTCATAACAAAGAGCAGAATTTGTGAGCTTACAGTACTATGTTGTAACTAATACTGAGGAAGCCCTAAAGGATCTTGCTACTGCTGCTGCATGTGTGAGAGAACATGTTCCCTGTAGCTCAGGCACGGAGAGGCCCAGGGAACTGGAATGGCCCAAATCCTGCCTGCTTTTGATGACTCTGAAAAAGACCTCCTTGCCATGCTCCATTTCAGAACCCAGTACAGTAATACAGAAGGTGGACATGCTCTTTGCAGTGAACATGTTAACTTGTAAGTAACACCACAAGGAACAGATAAAATTCATCTCAGATGTGACACAGCAAACCTGAACTCCTACATTTTGTTCAAGTAGTGGGTGGTGCACACCCAGATGGGAGCAGACAATGATTGTATAGATTAAAAAAAGAGGATTTTACTTTTGAAAGAAGAGCAATTTGTCTTCTCTTGCCCCTTAAGCATAAAGGATACTACATTTTCTACCCACGCATATACAAGTACGACTGTACACATTGCTAACCAAGTGTATAAATGGAGTTACAAAAGAAATAGATTTCAAAAGGGGAAAATTAGAATAATCTAGCACCCTAATGGCAGCCGTTCCCAGCACGTCTCACTGTTTGAAGTCAGCAAAGTAAAAGTAGCAACCTTCTAAGAATGGGCAGATGCCCTCTCTAAAAGTAACTTAAAGGCTCCAAAAGAAGCCCTATTTGGATCCCTTTTGTATGAAGGACGTTGGCTGTAAAAGGGGGCATAGAATCATAGGACTGGAAGGTATCTCAAGAGTCATTTAAGTCCAACCCCCTGAACAAAAACAGAATGTGCTATTCTTAACTATTCCAAACAGATGGCTCTTGAAAATCTCCGAAGCAGGAGATTCCACAACTTCCCTAGGCAGCTTGTCCCATTGTCCTACTGCTATTATGGTTAGCAAGTGGTTTTTTTTTTAATGTAATCTAAACTATGGTGTGGTTTAGCTTAAATCCAATGCTTCATGTCCTTCCCACTGTGGCAAGGGAACAACTGTTCTCCCTTTTTTTTTTACAGCAGCCTTTCGAATATTTGAAAACTGCTATTAGGTCCCTACCTTAATCTGCTTTTCTCAAACCTAGACAATACCTAGTTCTCTTAACTTTTTCTTGTACAGTTTTCATTCCAAACCCTTTATCATCTTTGTCATTTGCTGCTTGATCCTGTCCAATTTTCTCTACATAATTCTGAAAATACAGGGCCCAGAACCGCAGACAATGCTCCAGGGAAGGCCTAACTGCTGAGAGTCATACTACCATCTCTTGTGCCCTGCATACAACACTTCTGCTAATGTAGCCTAAAACTGCATTTGCATTTTTTGTGATTGTCACCTTCTTAACTCACGTTAAGTCTGTGATCCACTATCATTCCCAGATTCTTCTTGGCAAAGTCACTGCTTGGTCTACTACTTGCTATTCTGAATTTGTGTGTCTAGTTTTTCTTCCCCTAAGTGCACAACATTAGTCTTTGCTCAATTTTATTTGGTTTATTTCATTATAATTCTTTTAATTTATCAAGAGCCTTTTGAACTCTAATCCTGTCCTCCAAAATGTTTGCAACCTTCCCTAGTTTTGCATCATCTGCATTTCTTGTCAGCTTCTCTTAAAAAACATGAAAAAAGGTCCAAAAGGATCCTGAAGGGAACTTCACATCAGTCACAATAAAAATAAACATCTGTATGATTTTATATTCTTAATGTTAAATAATTAACAATTCTCTATAGAAAGTATTCCATTAAAACTTTTCCTAGGTGTTTGCTTTTCTTTGGTTTTCTTTTCATCTTAGTTACTTGAAGTGACACCACACAGATCACATGTAGAACTGTACCATTCTAGCACAGCTTTATATAAGATGAAGTACAATCTGTGGCTACTTTATATAAGATGAAGTACAATCTGTGGAACCAGAACTTGTACCTGCAGATGGAAGCGACTCTTAAATAAATTATGTCAAATTTTAAGTTGTGTAATCCTATATAATGAAGTAAAAAAAAAAATAAAGGGACAGATATTTTAAAGAAGCTCAGTTCCTATTTAGGCAGCTAAATCAAATACCCAGATTCTCAAATTATGTCACTGGCAAGCAGCTTCCAGTATTCCACATCTCAGAGATGCTTAGTGCTGACCACTTCTGTGGATGTGATCATTAATTTAAGTTCCTTTAAGGAACATAAGCAGAAGCCCAGCTATTCTGAAAATCTGGCTTCAAAGTGTGCGTGCTAAGTGCTTTAGAAAAATCTGTTCAGCACTATATTTCTATCTAAAAAGACGTTCAACATCTACTGAAAGCTACAAAAAACAATAAACCATATCAAACCAAATCAGTAAAACCCCACTAAATTCTCAAACCACCCCAAACCCCAAATATGTCATCCTGTAGCACAGAAATTTGAGAAAGTATTAGAATGACAAATGTAGTACCTTGGGCATGCCATCACTCTCCCCTATAAGGTAATCTATCAGTTGGTTGGTCAGAGCTTCATCTTTTGCCTGCCCCACCTATTAAATGAAGACAGGAAAAATGTCAGTGCATAATACATGAAATATGGGGGAAAGGAATTAGATTTCCTCATATAAAAAATTGAATTTAAGTATATTTAAAAATGTGTTATCAGTCTTGTGTGTTTTAATTGTATTAAACTGGGTAACACATTGGGTTGACTCACTACTGTTTGATATGCCATATTTCATGTCTAAACATGTTATGAGAGTCCTTAATCAATAGTGTGACATGGTTTACAGCTGCATCTACCATATTCTAAATATGAACACAATCTATTGCATGAAACTGTAGAATCAAGCGGCGGGGGCTGCCTTTGCCTCCTCAGGAACAGATAAGGTATGGGGCAGGGCAGTTAGTGGAAAGAGCCAGGGAACAGCAGGGTTAGATCCTGACCCTGCAGCTCTTACCTGGCACCAGCTAGACCAGGGGTTCTCAAGGCTCTCTCCATATCTTTTCTCAGTTTAAATTTTAGCTTAGTGACTCTCAACTGGCATGCATGAAATTTAGAAAAGTTATGGAAGGGGTACCTTAAGGCTAAAAATGTTGAGAACCATTGCATCAGGGCTAAAAATGTTGATAACCGTCACTATGGTAGAGGCACTGAGTTCTTGAAAAGAGGCTAAATCACTGGTTCTCAAATGGGGCACAAGACCCTTTCAGGGGCGCTGTGGCAGCCAGATGGAAATGTTCCATATGCCTCATGTGTATCTACATCAGGAACGGCTGCATTTGCTTTTGCCTGCATTCAGATTATGTAATAAACCTAAAGCAGGCAGAAGTACCGAGTCCTGCTGCAGCCCTTCCCTGTTCAGCCCCCCCATGCTCCTGCAAATATGCTACTACAGTGCACTGCGCAGGTCAAACTGCCCTATATGCTTTTGTTTCTGGGAGAAGTGTGAGGCAGGGTCCAGACTAAGAAGAGCTGCAGCAAGAGCAGGTGCTCCCACCTGCTTCTGGCTTATCTAGCAATGCATGAGACACAAACAGTAGTTCCACTTGGTGGTGGTAGCATACTGTAGTGTTGAGAACCACAAAGAAGCAGACACAGCAAAACAGTGGTTCTCAACTGGGGTGACACCAAATTTTAAAAAAAGTTATGGAGAAGTGCCCTGAATCTAAAAAGGCTGAGAATCACTGGGCTAAATATTCAATTTCTGAGGTTTCTTACCGTTTCAATTGCCATTTCTATAGCCATATTATCTTCTGTGCTTGGGCTTTTCAGAAAATGCTTTAGTGCCTGTAACAAAATAGAAATATAGAATTATAATTGAGATAAACAATATGATATTTCAAGAGGCGTAATTCAGAAGTTTTTTTACTGTGGGGGGTAGCAACAGCTGGGCCAGCAGCGGCTGATACTCTTGCGGCCCCTCTCAGTTGATGATTAGGGCTGGTGCCCTGATCATCCTCCCCTACTTACACTACTGGGTATTTCCAATTTTGTCCATTAGATTTTTAAATCACCTGGTTTCTATCATTAGACATAACAGCTGAACATGGATTTCTGTATAATCTATACAAGATTTTGCTCAAGTGTGTTTATAAAGGTTTAGGGCCAGATCCAAAAAAGGAAAGGACTTGGGTTCCTAGGATTGTCCAAACTGCAATCCTGAAAATTCCCACTCAATTGCTGCTTAAACTGTATGGATGACTCACTTTTACTTTGAAACTCCCCACGCAACTACTGTATAGTTGTGTCTCTGGGCATGTCCTGAATTTCCAAATTTTGACAGGGGTGAGCACCTTGGTTCCTAGCTCTGGCTCAAACCCAAATGAGATCCAGAAATTAGGCATTCCTCTGTCTAAATCCTCCAAGAAGTCTAATCCAGTAGGTTTTCTTAGGCTCAGGCTCTTCAAAAAATGCAGTTGTAGCATCTATTTTCTTTTTAAACATACCTGGGAGGATGCCAATGCCAATAATCGCCATTTATACAGTGGCTTAGTGGTTAGTACAACTCTCCTGGGAAGTGGGTGGGGTTTTTTGCCCCCCTCAGCCTGATCCTCAGGTCCACATCTCAAAAAAGTACCTTAATCATCAGGCTGAAGGCTAACTGGGAAGAGGGAGGTGGAAGAAAACTCTCTCCAATCCTACTGCTAAAGCTACTGCACTGTAGTAAAGAATTTAAAATTCACTGGATAAGTGAGTAGCTCAAGTCTGTATCCTAGCAGTTAGGGTATTCACCTTCACAAAATTCTTATTGGATGGTGCTGGTCCTTGCTTCTAGGAGGCTTTACTATTTTTTTAGGATACCTTCTTTTCTAACATACAACATGCCCCAGAATATAATACAGACCTTATTTTTGAAAGGCAGAATGAAGTAAAAAAAGATTTTTTCTAGAGTTGTGGCTACATAGAACAGGAACAGATCCTAGCCTTCAGCTGAGGGAGTCACCCTCCCTTTCCTGCTTAACTAAGCTGAAATCCTGCTTAACTGCTCCTGAAGACCAGTCTCTGTGGGTGGGCTTTAATTTTGAAAAGAGCTATACAGTCTCCAAGGCTATGAAACAAGAGGAGAGAGAGATCAAGAGCAGCCAGAAAAAGCAAAATAGCCATATGAAAGGTTACCTTGATTAGCGGAATGTTAAGACCATAGGAAAGGAGAGAAGTCAGAGGAACAATAAGCCATAAAGTCAACTCACTCACTCAGTTGCCTGAATAGTAATGCAACAGCTGCTACACCATGAAACAAAAAAATCAAGGCAGGGTGCTTTCACTCAGGCAGAAAATCAAGCCCCCCACTTAACATATACACCCCAAATTTGGGGGGCTGATTTTGGGAGAAAAGGTGCATGTTGTAGGTGAAAAAATATACTACTCTTCTAGGAAGGAGGAGAGGTGTTTTTGAAACTCCTCAGGTAGAAGAGGAAACTGAATATCCAAGTCTCCTCCTTTTTGGGCAAGTGATCCAGCTATACATGTTTTATATAAAAACACCCTAATAGCCTCACTCTCTTCCCATTACTCCTTGTCTAGCTCCTCTTTTAGCTTCTGGTGCTGGATGGTTATAATCTACAAAGTATAAACATACTCTGCTTTTTTCCCCCAGCAGTTTATGGGTAGCAGGGGCTACGTGTGCATTCTGGTGTGGTCACCCTTACTGGCCATTTCCACCCTTGAATCAATATATTATACTTCAGGTTTATAAGAAACTGTTTAAAGGCTTTCATCATGTGCTCAACATTATATACCTTTATGCCATTAATGTATATTTCTTTATCCTTCCCATGTGTTGGGGATTACTTGTTTTTTTTCTCCTCAGTTTTTCTTTTTAGCGGCACAGACCAATTAACACTTTAGTCATGGCACAACTATTCCCAGCTCATACAATCAGCAATGAGTTTAGGAACTGTTTTTAAAGGCATTACAAAGTGGGAGCAATGGTCAGTGCAGAATGCTCCCTTACCAGCCCACTAAAAGCAATGGTCACCTAATGATGCCAGCGACAGCATTTCATAATTGCAGCACTCAGTGGGTTTATAAAGCCAATAGTATACTTAATAATAATCAACTGACTGATTCTATTTATATCGCAGGCAATGGGAAATGTGCTGATATGCATACTCTTTCCTATAATAATACTATGTTATAGTTTGCTACCATATTGCATAGATTAATGCATATTTTTATATCCAAGTATTCATCGGACATACAAATAAATTATAAGCGCGTTCTAATTACGTATTCATGTAATTCTTAGAGGAATATGTGTTTGAAGCTTCTAGTGCTGTAAATAAGAGTTACCACTGAGTGTACATCTAGCACACAATATTTATTATTTTTTACCCATTGGAAAAACATTTCAGTTTTATTTTAAGTCGTATTTTCTGCTACTAGACAAAAGCTAAAAAGGCTCCCTTTTTCTTCTGATCTGTAGGAAGCCTCTGTTTTGCACAATTGTTTCTAGAGACATTTAAAAACTGTTGCAGTTTTACTATTTAAATACTAACCCGTGAATACTGACCACACAGCAAAAAGAACTTTCCTGCCTGGAAATGCTTCTTTTCTCCCTCAAAGTATAGTGCAATACTTTGATAATCTTCGTTGGTAGTGTTCTCAGAGCCTGCAACAGATGGATAATTGGAGTAACAGAATTTTTATTGTGAAACCAGGTCTCTAGAGTCTATGAAAGGGTAAATTCCACACTTTACAATTTTAGCTTTTACTACTGTAGCAGGCTGCAAGGCCCAGGAGTTGCAGCCCAGCAGCAGGTAGACAAAAGTGACTGGTCAGCTGGTAAGGAGAACTGACTGGCCAAAGGAAGTTAAACAGGTGCCTGGAAGGGAAGCTAAGGGAGGGAGAAGGAGAGAGAGGGCAGGCTGACTGAAGGATGAGCACCATGCCAGAGCTGCCTCCCTCCCAGGATCTGGGAAAAGACCCAGAGGTTCGGTTTATGTTTGCTGTATACCTGTACTCATTTTGTTACTGTGGAGAAGACATATTTGTTTATTTGAATTAGAAGACTTGGTTTGTTTTCTCCAGAGAAGAGCTCTCCAGGTATGCAATAAAGGGACTGGTTTTGATGAGAAAAGGGCTCCTGAGTCTGCCTCAGGGAGCGTCACCCCCTACAGGGTGCTCAAATGAAGAAGGTCCAGTTGGACTTCCGACTAGATGCATTTTATACAGTTTCCATTTTGTACAGTTCCCAGTTCCTTAATTTTTGATTAAGGACTGATGACTTTGTGAAGCACCTCATACTAACATTATGGTATAAAACTTATGCGAGGACCTTTATCCTTTAACAGACAGAGTAAACCAGAGGCATAACCATGATCTAATTCCAGGAGTTATTCCATGCCCTTGTGGAACCAATAAAATAGATCACCTAACAATAATAATCAAAGAGATTATTATCTGCATTACTGAAGTACTTAATGTATGAGTATGGCCACACTACAGCGGCTATATCGCTTCTCAGCCCCTTGAAGGCTCAGATCAAGTGAAGATAACTAACTAACTGGGCAACTTGGGTACTGGAAGCCATCCATCCTCAACAAGCGAGTTAAATCTACCTTGTACACCAGGACCAATTATGCTAGGCAGTGGACAAATACAGATTTAAGAAATGGCTTTACAAATCCAAGACATCAGTTGCAGCACAAACAGCTTAACTGTTATCAAGGTTATTTGGTTTGTTTGTTTTTATAGTTATCTGATAAAGGCAGTTTCTAGGGATATACATGATGGAAGATATGTATGAAATAATTTAGCAGGTGTTTTGGGGAGGGATGGGGGGGAAGTGTTCCCAAGTATGTGGAGCACTATGGCAGCAAGAACAAACAAAATAAAATGTTTGGAAATACAACAAGTGGCCAGTGGTAGAGGATCATGCCATGGGCTAACGGGAGTGGATGGATGAGAGGCCATCACAGACAAGACCCAGACATAGCTTGGACACGAGGACTTAGAGAACAGTCCAAGTCAAAACGATGCCCAGGTTATGGGTCGCAGACACAATTCCTAAATACCATCATCCTCCTTCCTGAGAATAAAAGATAAGGATCTGGAGATGTGAAGATGTCTAGTTTAACACTATTACTACAAATTTCTCTAAGCTATACATCATAAATGGGCTATAAATTACTGAAAACTATGAAACTAGAATAACTCACTGATGATGTCAGCATAAATTTCCATCTTGTTGTGCTGCTGAGCCAGTGTGAAAGCTTCGTTATTGCACTTTGACATGACCAGAAACTGGATGGCAGAACCATAGTCACCCAGCTGCAGAAAGAATCTAAAACCGAACAAATTAGTGCTTTTGTTGAACCATACATGAACACTTCAGAATTTTTCCAGAGAAAATATGCCCTGTGCAATAGATGTGTGGATTTTAAAAAAAAATTAAACAATTCAACTATTTAAATTAATGATTTTTTAAAAAGAAAACTATTTAAAATTAAATTTGAAACTTAGAACCTCCATTATGACCTAAACTTATTATGATATGATTTAAAGTAATTAAAAAATATTTAAGAAATAGATATTTGCTATCCAAGATCTAAAAAGAAAAACAAAACCAAAAACCAAAAAACCTCAAGCCACTGAATTAGGGTAAATCAATAGCTAAATAAGCACACTGAGTCAATGATAAACAGCTGTTACCCTTTTGTAGTTATAAAGGGATATATTTATTCAGTTTAGTTCAGTTCAATAATAATCAAATCAAAGATGAGTAACCAATTTGGACTTGAAAAAGCACAAGACTATTTTATTTTCCAATTTACAAACAAAAAATATGTAACAGGCTGAGTTTTGTTTGTTTTAAAACCTTGAATACAATGTTGACCATTAATAATAATTTCAATTCACTTTTATTTAATAAAATCAGTTAAAAGGAAAGCATGTTATGGCTTTTTATCTATCATATTTAACTAATAAATAATTTCAAAATTCTTTTTTTTTGCATTTTTAACTGAATAGCAATTTCCATCCAAAAGCAACTTGACATAAATGATGAATTCAAAAAAATCAGTCATTTAGTAAATAACCTAATTACCATTTTCTAACAAAATAGAAAAAATAAGAATCTGAATAAACACATATTAAGCTATATAACTGTAAATGAGTGTTTAGTGTACCCTCCCAGTTAGCAAAAAGAAATGTCATATTTAAAGTAAATGAAATATATAGTTGCAGATCAACGTTATCATTTTTTAGCCAAATTACTAAGATGTACAAGTGTAAAACAAGATTAGAAATGATGATTTTAATACAATTTTCTTGCTTGCTGATTTAAATCATGATTGATATTGATTATTAAAATCACTGTGTTTTAAATAAATTCATTCTGTACTGAGGGGCTACATATTTATTTTTCTAAACATTCTAGAAGGCTGCTCATAGCTTACCTATGACCTTAGGTGAAATACACACGTACATAATATCAAATTAGTTTCTGGACAGTACTATGGAATAGAAGAATTTTCTATTTTAAGCCTGCTTGATTAAAGATGCCTAAAGAATTATTGCCATTGGGGTAATTTTTTTCTGTTTATCTAGGTCTAGAAAGTTTCGTGACAGTTTGATGCTTTTAGATTTGAAATATTTTAAAGAGATTCAAATGTAAAAAGTGTTTTTCAGGGTTTGTTTGTTTGTTTTACTTAAAATGCTTCCAAAACTTTTTTTGTCATTGATTCTTAGGAAAGGCTACTGCCTGAGAGCATTTGTCTGCTGCTGTTTCTTCTACTTTAAAAACAAGTGATGTTCCAGATTATATCTATTTAAAAATGCAGGTCTCAACAGAGATCAATGGGTAGAGCTCAGGAGCAATCACATCCCCATGGTAGTCACCCGAGGAAGGTTCTGGGGATTACTGGATCCACAGAATCACACACTTGTGGTTCCCATAGCACTCCTCTTGGTCTGTCCTCAGAGGAAACTTCCACACCAGCCTCACACTCATTGCTGTACTGCCTAGATCCATTAAATACAGATGGTACAAATACAATCCATTTGGCAGCTCAACTGATAAACATGTTGTGCAGCCCTTTACTAGGCTTACATGGTGCAGGTAGACGTAGATATGCACTGTTATTCAGCAGCGCGGGTGAATGTCACCTGTCAGTATGCACATTGAACCTAACTGACTAGCCCTAGCTAAGGCCCTTCAGAAAGCTCCAAATGTTTTAATGTGAGCACTTTTGAGGCTTAAACAAACACATTAAAAGCCCTTAGCAAGCACTTAAACCTTTCCTTACCACAAGCAAAAATGCTATGAAAGACTGTACTACATTCTTGGTTATTACAAATCTTTACCAAGATTTTGCTCCTGTTATGTTGTGGGTGCTCCATAAATAGGACCTGGTTTAAATCATGGGCCCAGCTCATGGTATGGCAGCTCCTTTAATCTTAGAGTTCCCCTTGTGTGCCCCGCCCCCCGCACTGCTGATTGGTGGAAGGAGCCCTCAGCCCCGCCACTTGCCCCTGATGGCCAGGAGGCAAAAACCGTGGCATATGTAAAACCACGGTTTTTGCTTCCTGGTCATCAGGGGCAAGTGTCAAGCAGTGGGACTGACAGGCCCATCTGCCAATCAGGTGTGGGGGGGGTGGGGGGGGGGGGAGAAATACATGCGGGAACTCCAAGATTAAAGGAGGTTCTGTGCTGCAAACTGTGTTCGCAATTTGAACTAGGCCCTACCCATAAATGAATTAATACACCCCCCCACCCAATACTATCAATCCCTACCACAAGGTAATATATGGATCATGGAATATAGTAACAAAACATAAGGATAATAGATGTGACAAAGTGACTGAGGGGACTGTGCCTAACATCAAGGGTGTTAAACAAATGGCCTGTGGGCGAGATGCTGTCTGTAGAGCTGCTCTATCCAGCCTGCCGGGCTAGTAACTGGAAGCTGGAAGGGGCCTTGCCAGGGGGGAGTGGCCTGCCACAGAATCCGGGCCCTTGGGCCCTGGTGGACATGGCAATCAATCAGTGGCAGGAGGGCCAGTGAGGGCTGATATAGCTGTGGTCCACCTTCACCTGTTGCCACCACGGTGGCCTTACCTCTTTAGTCACCAGCTCTGCCACTCCATGCTGAACCTGAGGTTGCCACAACATGCCCTGTGCCCCAGGCCAGAACGGGAAACAGAGCTGCCACCACTGACACATGCATCAGATGGATCTGTCCCGCAAGGAACCCTGCAGACTGGATCTAACTTGGGGCACAAGACTAGTTTGAAATCCCCACCATACATAGATAGAAGCTGTAGGACCTGAATCAAGTAAAATAATCTTGTGGTGGGAGGGGTCAAAAACTTACATCTTCAGCAGTAAAGAAACAAAATGGAGATTGGGTCATATCAAAAGCTTAGTAGAGAACACATCCAAAACAACTATTATAGTACTGCACATATTGACACTGTAACTTACTCGGAGATGGACAAATGTCTTTGACAACTCATGTTTCAGTCATCCCTACTACACAATTTTAGCATTTAGCAAGAAGTACAGAAGATGGAAACAAGGATGATAATGTCTCAAAGGTTAAAAAAAGAAGAAGAGGGGGTAGGAAAATTAGGTTTACCGAATGCAACTACTTGATTACCTGGCTACCATCTTGGCTCCGTCAAGAGACTGTGTTTCCCTGACAATGTTAACTGCTTTTTCAGGATTGTTCAGATGATCCAAATATAGCCGAATTACACTGTCCCACTGTTTGGCATTCTTATAAGCCATCACAGCTTCCTTGTATCTGCAAAATAACAGGGCAAAGCATACTTCATATCTAAGGTTTTCTAGTTTTGTTAAGAATTCATCACAACACTCTACAGATGGCACATAATATATGCAGGCATAAGCATATACCTGAGGAGTTGTATGCTTATGCCTGCATACATTATGTGCCATCTGTTGATACAACCTGTATCTTTTGAGAATACCTCCACAGTTATTTATACTGACAAGTTAGGTACATCAAACTTTTTTAACAGTTTTTTTAATAAGAGCCAATGCTCAGCCTTTAACCAGGCAAATCCCTATTTCAATAGTTAAACAAGTTAAAATAGGATCTTGCTCATTCTCACTACGGCATCAGCTTTAGAATAGTACTTTCTAGTCAAATCAAAACAAATTAGGGAAGAACACTGCTGAGCTCTAAAGACTATCATACTATTATGATTTCACTGTTTCACAAAACATTCTTCAGTACATTTACTTATATAATTACCAAAGACTACATTTTATGAGCATGTATTCTTGATTCTCAGATTATTTTTGATTATCTGGTCTTTAATCAGTAATTTGTAGTTTCTCTTTCCTAGTGCAAATAAATGTGATACATCTGCAAATAAATGTGGTGATTTTTTAAAAAAAGAGTAAACTGTTTTTCCTTTATCTTCTCAAGATGAGGTTAACAAATCACTCCAAAAACTGAAAAAGCATCTTCAAATTCAGAATAAGTTCAGCACATCAACACTGACCACAACCTATAGTACTAGAAAATAACTTTAAAAAACTATTTGACAAAAAGCTTTAAAGCAAGGGTAACCAATCAAAACAATAGCTTCCCTAAAATCCATTGATTTTTCTCAATATCCTTTTAAGGTTTGACTTTTACAATCTTTCAGGATCATTATGTTCACTGAATATGTTTTAGAGTGATTGGTTTTATGAACAGAGATTAAACATTTCGGTAGCTTTAAAGGCATATCTATTCGATCTTAGACATAAAACACACCTGCCATCTGCTTCTTTGGCCTTGGCATATTGCAGGTGAATCTTTGGTGATGATACATGAGGGAGAAGCTCACCAACCTTTGCCCTAGAAAAACAAGATAACGAAAAGAGATTAAATAATAATCATTCTCTCTGTTTTTTTAATTGTCTTCACACACTGTTTCCTTTTTCACAACCTTGTGACAAGGTATTTAGGAGAGGTCACAGATTCACTGGAATCTGACAGAGCCACACCACAAACACTTCTATTGTGGCCTTGAACTTGCGACCTCTGGGGCTATCAACTCTACACCTTGGCACCTGCACCATCCCAGTCCCTTGGCAGAGTAAAACATAAGCATATTTATAGTACTGTATTTACCTGAATACAAGATGACTCAATTTAAGACAACCTCTCCCCCTTAATTAGATTCTATACAGAAAATTTATAAATTTATTATAATTTTCTATGTATGGAATCTTAATTATTGGAGGACTATCTTCAAGTAGTCCCCCTCACTAATCCAGGTGGTGGTGGGAGAGATAAGGGGGGGCAATAATGGAGCAGGCAGTGGGGAGACAGACAGAGGGAGGCACATGGTAAGGCAGCAGTGGGAGGCAGTAATGGGGCAGGCAGTGAAGGGATGAGTGGAGGACTCAGGACAGGCAGTAGAGGGGAAGGTGGTAGGGGGAAGGCAGTGTGGAGGAAGTGGGGCAGGCAGTCTGGCCCCTGCTGCCCATACCCGCTACTGTTTAGGCACCCATTGTGCCTGCCACAGCCTACTGCAGCCTCAGGCTGCCCTGATCCCCCGTCCCCTATCCCCCTCTTTCTCCCTCCACCCTGCTTCTTGCACCCTACAGCCTCAGGCCCCCCCAGCCCAGAGTCTCCCCCGCTACCTGCCCCTCCACCCCACCCCCTTACCTTTTCTCCATGCTAGCAGGTTCCTTCCCTGCTGTAGCCTGGGGCACTGAGCATGGCTCTAGCCCAGCCTCACAGCAGTGGTGCAAAACTGGCACTGCTGCTATAGGGCTGGGCTAGAGCATGTGCTCTGTGCTCCAGGATGCAGTGAGGACGGAGCCTGCTGGTGTAGAGAAAACTTAAGGAGGAATGTGGCTGAGGGGGAGAAGCAGCGAAGGAGGGAGACTGGGGGATGTAAGGAAGGAGTGGTAGAATGTGCCAATGCAGCAGGGGACAGGCGGCAACTGTGGCTCCAGTGCTGGAGCTGGAGCCAAAACAGCTGTCTGCTGTCTGCCACCTCATACTCAATTGTACGGTGAGTGGCCTTTTGCCCTCATGTTAAAAGGGAAAAAACCCTTGTCTTCTAATCAAGTGAATATGGTAATACTGAAGAGGAAAGAAAAAAGATCTAACTTGGTATGTGAGGAATCAGCAACAGTATGAACTTATACTTTAACATATGCTTGAGTCACATTTAATGCAAAAGGAGCTTGTAAGACTGATCTCATTTTCATTTCAATGGACATGGAAATTAATCATGATAATTTATATTCCAACATATTTTCTTCTGTTACATGCGTCCTGAAGTTTTCAAGAGCATCAAGATTTTCAAATCCACGCTTCTGTTCACACCCAGAAACCAGATATGTGGTCATGTAATGGTTTTACACTTCTCTGGCAGTGTAAGGAGACTGAACTGGAATATCTTTTCTTTTTTATTTTAAATGTGTAACTAGTGGGAATTGTGTTTACTGATTAGAAGTGCAAGAATGACTACACTGAAGCCTGATGTATTCTTAATTTGTCCATAAAACAGATACCATATTAATTATTATGCAAGCTTCCACTGCACTGCCCTATGTCTCTCTACTATGACAGGGAGGAACAAGCTCTAGAAGCACACTTGTCTTGCTATCCATTTAGTTTTGCTTGCTCTGGAGAAACTGCTAATAAGGGTCCAATTATGATGGAAAATCTGTTATGCTGACTTTGGGGCTAGGAACCACAAAAGGACTTAGCTATTGTAATGCTGTGTGATGCACCATCCAACTTTTAGGCATCTTGGAATTAATCATTCTGAGTGAGGCACCTAGGTTCCTGCATTCACAAGTAAATCAAAGTGCCTAAGAATTAGATCCATGAAAGCTGGCATGTTGAGTGGAAAGCTGCACAAGTAGCTAGTAGGAAATGTAGAAGAAGGGTATCTCTCAGATTTACACATCTCTGTGATTTCAGCACTTGACTTCAAACTTCAGGGAGGCACTTGCCTTTAGTTAGGATTCACAGCTTTCAGAGCTTTTTCCTTGATACCTTACACTGCTCATTTTCTCAAGATGCAGCTGGAGGAGGAGAGAGATCTGACTTCAACTTCCTTCTCTGCCTGAGCCATCTCATCGCCCACACAAATCCTCTAAACCAGTGGTCAGTAAGGGCTTTGCCTGTGCCTGTGCTGGGGCCAGGCAGCATGGAGGTGTACTGGGGCCAGGCAGATGGAAGCTGACCCTGTGCTGCTGCTTCCTCCAGCTTCCCTGCTCCTTGGTTGCAGCATGGGCGCAGTTTCTAGCCAAGAAGGACCTATGCCACAGCTGAGAGGTGGAAGCAGGGGTAAGGGAAGGGTGAGAAGCAATGGTAACAAGGACACAGCTTCCAGCTGCCTGGCTCTGACACAGCTCCCCATTGGATGGAAGCTGTACCTGCACCATAGCTGGGGAATGGGGAGCTGGGGGAAACAGTTGTTGCCCAAACGGCTAGTTTCGTGCCCCTGGAGGCTTTTCCGATTGACCTCAAGGAGAGAGTCACACACTCAAGCTGGGTCTATTTTAAATTTATTGTTTGCGCAAACAAGATCGACTAGGGGGCTAGTAGCCCAAAGCAGAGTCGACCCCCGGTCTTTGTCCGAGGGTCTTTTTATAGCTTATCTAAACAAAGAACCGTATCGTGGTATGCAGTTATTGGCTATCCTACAGCGTCTACAAGCTTCTACTGTTTTGTCTAAGTTTCCGCAAGACGTCAAAGTTTCCATGGTTACGTCTAAATTTCCACAGGATGTTTTAGGTTTTCATGCTATGCTTAACTTAGTATGGGTTATGTTATAACACCTGTGTGTTTTTAACAGGGGGGTCTTTTATCTTATGTCTTCAATCTATGTGCAGAAGCTAATGCGGAAGCCATTTGCAAGCCATGTCTAATACAGAAGCATTTTGCAAAGAAAGCACTATGTCTAAATTCAATCATTATGCCTAACCTCTAATCGTATTTGTACCACACAGTGGCAGAGGTATACCTACCAGCTGTCTGGCCCCAGTACAGGGGCAGGAAAAACCCCCCCCCCCCCCCCCCACACACACTACTGACATGCTGCCAAAGCCACCTGGCTCATATCGAACCAGAGATGGGTTGTTCTGTCCCTCCTCTTGTTAAAATGTTGCGTTCCCTGGCTCTAACCACCAGACTATACAGGGTATTCTGGTGCAAGATTTTCTCAGTTCCTCCTGTTTAAGCTGTTCCACTTTGTATGGAAGAATTAAAATAGTCACTGGCCCAGAGAGACTAAATGTGATACTCTAGCCTACTGGTAGAGCACTTGTCTGAGAGGGGAATACTGCATTATCTTATATTAATACTTAATATAAAATACTTAACCATTCATTAGGGACCAAGTGCTTTTGTGGTACTAACTCTTGTCTACTTGGAGCTGGACTAAGGTCAACATAATTTAAAAATTACACTGAATATACATACTACTAGCTCTTACTAAACACTTCTGACCTGTGCAGAATATGAACCAGCAAAGTAGATTTCCAATCATCCGAGCCACCTAGTATCTGTTGTAACATATTTTATAAAAAACATTTAATGGACTAAACATAACTATGCAAGTAAAAAGATTCCAAGTGTGCAGTACATAAAGAATCTGAAAACCCAATTACAAAATCAAGCTAAACATAATACACAGCAAAGAGAAATTTGCAAATAATGAGAACAACCACTATTTTCCAATAAAATTATGCACTATATCAGAGCTGACCAATTGCACTTGGGTTTCTGAAGATCTGTTCCATGTGGACTCCAGTTGGCCTAGTTTCCAGGAACCTAAGAACTGTTTTGATAAATCAATTAGCTGGAAAAATAGTTCATGTGATAATCAAGATGTTTAGGGACTTCTGTTCCTTTCAAAAGGGTATTAAAGATATAACCTGTTTCTCATGGAATGTAAAGCTTCACTAAAAGCTGTACTTACCAGTTTTTACAGCGGATATATACTGATGCTGCCTTGTCATAATATTGTCCCTTTTCATATAGCTGGGCAGCTTCTGAAAATTGCTATAATAATGCAAATTATTATAAATATTATTTGTAATGTATTATCACTACTACAAATAAATAATAATAGTTTGAATATGAGAATTCATTGTGTTATTGGCTCTCTTTTTATTACTAGGGATACCTTCATGCTCTCCAGAATAGCTCCACAGTCTCTTTTTAGCAGTCTACTAGGATGTTTAATGGCCTGGTTTACTCCCCGACGGATGTCTCCCATTCGAACAGACATCTGGGCTACTCCTGCTAGGCAAGCTTCATCATGTTCCTGGTACTGGAAAACAACAGGAAAGTGAGAACTATCTTCCGTAAAAATCGTATTGGTTTGGCAGAACCTACAATAACAACTGTAACAGTGAAATGCATTAGCCAGAAATAACCTGATTTTAATTAAATCCATTCTTGTCAAGGAAGTTTCAGTCAGCATCTGAAAAAGCTATGGTTATTGTTTTGATTAATTCAAGGCACTGCTAATACTGGTGAATCCTGGGTTTTCCTTCTTATTGTTACTTTTTGCTGAAATTTTGTATTTAACATTATATTTTACTATAAGAATTAGTCAGATGTATGGGAGGATCTCTTTTCAAAAAGAAGCAAAAATCAGTTGTATACAGAAAAGGAAAATGATTTACCTGAAACTGAACTTTTTTGAAGAGACTAGCCCCATGAATTCACATACAGTATTTGGTTTTGGTTTCAAATATCAGATAAAACTGCAATTTAATGTTTTGAAAAAACAAAACAAAGAGTCTTTTTATTCTTTTACTGAACTGATGGCCATACAAAAGGAACCAAGATTTTCATTAGAAAATAAGCACCTTATTTAACATATTTTCCCTCATTGTGGTATTATTCTCTTAAATATTTACAAAAGTTTATTATGAAATTATTCATACATTAAACAAGTAATTTCTCAGTACTGCCATGTTAATGCAATAGGTATCTGTAAATCACAGTTTACATCAAAAAGTGTCCTTTTGTGTCTGTACAATAACAGCAGGGACATATGGATGATACAGTCTTCTCTCAGGAAGAAGAATATATAGTTTACAACATAATATAAGGTGCTATATATAAATAAGCTTGGAACATGAAGATACAGTATATCACAATTACATCACTGCTGAAGAGAGTTACCTTATTGTCTCCTGTGATTCCCTTCTCATAATGTGCCAAAGCATTCACATAATCACCCCTGAAAAAAAATATAAATATGTATCTATCTATTCTGCAACTGCTGAACTATTCTACTATAGATGTGTGCATGTCTAGAGCAATTCAACTGGAATGTTGCAGTGGCAGCACCCATCAGGGCAGTTCAAGTGCCCTTTTCCTCTAGCCTATGACATAAAGGAGATGAATCTCACTCAACCTCCTTTAGCACTCAAAATTAATAGCAGATTTACTAACACAGAAGGATGGTGAATGGAGGAACACATGTAGGCACAACATATCAGGGCCAACACTTACATAAGAAGTACCTAATCATTTTTTCTTCTTTGGGTCTCTGTGCCCACAAATATTACATAATATATGAGTTACTGTACGTGTAGTTTTTACTGTAACATTATTGACCTTGCATCCTTCAGTCATAGCTACTCAGGTAAGACCAGCAGAATTTAGCATGCGTCATACTCACCCATGTTCCAATAAGAACAATTAGCCAATATGCACACTTTTTCTATGCTGATCTTAAAGACTTTAAGAGGGTGCTAAATGAAATCTAGTTTCCAAGCCCTGAGTTTTAGTCATTTGCTCTCTGATACTGTTCTCCCATAAAATTAAATTTGCTTTACCAGTCTGGGCCTGCTCAGTGGTGCTGAGAGAAGGTCAGAGATGTGGGGAGGAAAATTTTCCAATGCCAGACAGAAGGGCAGAGATGTGGGGAGGAAAATTTTCCAATGCTTTATTTTTCCGTGGGAATTTTTCCATTTCTAAAAATTCATTGTTTCATAAAATTCATTAGTAACAATGATGCCAATACAATATTAAGCAAGCTTGGCAGTTTCAAAGTTGTAACTGTTTTTCAGGTGATTATTCCTAGGAAGTGTGTGAGAGAGTGCATGCATGTTTTATCGATTTGTAAACATGAAGGTAAATACACTCACATAATAATCCAAACCAAAAATCAAGTTATTAATTCACCTAATTGGCTGTGCAGGTCAAATCAAAACCGAATGAATGCACCACTAAGCTTGTTTCTATTTCTCTAAATGTATTGCTTCTAGAGAATCAGTCACAAGCACAATTAGTGAAGAAGATTCATTGTGATAAATTGCCCTTGCCCAAAGACTCAATAGTAAAACCATCCTTTAGCGAAAGAGAATGTGGTTCAAGTAGTTCAGAATCAGATTTGCCTCAATCTGATTCTGAAATAGAACTAATAAGTAGTGCAAGTGATTCTACAGATAATGACAGTGAAACTGGAGGTGCTCCAATGACCTCAGTGGAGGACAGTTAAACTCTGTTAAAGAAGATGAGTGGACAACCATGGCATATCATTCACAGTTCTTTGGGTGCGCTAAAATTAGTGTGTTAACAGTTTTCAGTGCCTTTGTTTTTTTCTTAAATTTAAACAAACAGTGTAAGGGAAGTACATGTTGTTGTGTATTGTCTTTACATTTTTACAAGTGTTCCAATAAAAATAATTTCTTTCCGCATAAAGCTTTGAATTTGTTTGAATATAATATTTAAACCATATTAAGTGTGTTGTATTTAATTTTTTTCCTAATCAAATATTTCATTTCAAATACTTGTGGCTATTGGGGCAAAAAATTAACACGGGGGTACTTTTTTAGTTTTGTTTACTAAATGTAAGTCAAATAAACATGCTAAATTAGATGACGCTCTATTTAGGGCATTGGAAAATTTTCCAATTAAAAATTTTCTGGAAAACCCACATCTCTGCAGAAGGGCCACTTATGGAAGTGTACCTAAAGGAGCCATGATGCTCCTTACCTTAGTTTGGCAGTGAGAGAGAACAGGTCATCAGCCTGGTAGGGTCAGCCATAGAGCTGGGTTTGTAAAGTTAATTTATTAACAATCCATATTATCAAGTAGTACATTTAACCTTTAAATCTACATTCAATCATCTACAATATACATAAAAGACAAGGATTTAAAGTCAAGGGTATTGGGTAGGTAGGGACTACTGGACTTGATGTTTGACACACTCTCACTGATATGTATGGATGACTTACTTAGGAGGAACACAGATACTTGAATACAAGGCATTCTTCTGATATCAAAGGCCTGAGTCCCAGGTAGGAGAAGACTATTCCAACTACAGACTTTTGTCTGCAACTAGAAACTTTCTTAGCAAATTTCAAAGCAAACAGTTCAGACTGCATCCCCCACCCCCACACTTTATTTGTACTTAAATAAATCAGCTAATCAGCTATTTTTGCTGATTTTTCTGGTTTTCTTACAGCCTCATTGGCACTACAGATGCAGGACCGCATCGAGCTTCCATATGACAATGCAATGGACTAAAGCAGTGGTCGGCAACCCCCAGCATACGTGCCAAGCATGGCATGCGAGGCCATTTTGCTTGGCATGCCACAGCCAGCCCCAGTAGCTGCTGCCAGTGACGGAGCCTGGGCTGCTCCCAGCAGGGCTTGCAGTGTCCCAGCTACCTGCTGGAAGCAGCCCAGGCTCTCGGTTGGCAGCAGCTACCCAGAGCTGGGGCCAGCTGCAGCCGGGAGACTGCAAACAGCTGTGCTGGGCTCCGGAGCCCTGGCATCAGCTCTGTGCACGCGCCCTGAGGTGCACGTGCAGTTGCCACCAGCATGGAGCTGGTGCTGGAGCTGTGGAGCCCGGCACAGCTGTTTGCAGCCTACCCGCTGCTTGCTGCAGCTGCCCCTCCCCCACCGCCTGCTCCGAGGTGCGTGTGCACGCGCTGATATAGAGCTGATGCTGGGGCTCCGGAGCCCAGCACAGCCGTTTGGAGCCTCCCGGCTGCAGCCAACCCCAGCTCTGGGTAGCTGCTGCCAGCCGGGAGCCCGGGCTGCTCCCAGCAGGCAGCTGGGACACTGCAAGCCCTGCTGGGAGCAGCCTGGGCTCCAGCAGCTACCCAGAGTCAGGGTAGCTGCTGACAGCCACAGAGCCCGGGCTAGAGGGCAGGGGCTTTGGGTGGGGACACAAGCAGGGCATCCTGCCATGTACTCCCTGCCCTCATTTTGTTTTTTTGCCATGCCGGCACTCCGGCACCTTCCAAGGTAGGCATTGTGGTGTTTTTTGGCACTCCGGCCAAAAAATGTTGCCGACCCCTGGACTAAAGCATCTCAAATTAGTCAAGATCTTTATGGAAATGTTCTTTCAGGACATCTCTTGC